TGTTTGAAATTATGGATTCTACAGGCCACATTCTATAAGAAAATTTTTTCTCCGGGTCGATCTGAGACAATTTTTTTTCGGGGCTCAAAAAAAGGCAGTGTATAACCTTCCTTTTTTACCAAAAATCGACTACACCAAAATCTCTCGGGAAAACACTTTTTCTTATTAATTTTGGTGCGTAGAATCCAAAACAATTCGTACTTTTTCGATCAGACTTCTCAATCAAAAGTTATAGACTAGAAATGCAATACCGGGATCCCGAAATACCGGGAGCATTTTTGCGAGATTAATCCCGCACATAAATGGAGCGGGATCCCGCGGGATTTGCGGGACTGAGGAATTTGTCGACCAAGGGGACGACTCTGTTTGCTTTGTTAATGAAACGCATAACGGAGAAATTATTTTTAAAATAATTGTTAAACTTTTTTCGTTAAAAATGTACTATGATTTTTGAGGCACTTTAGAAGTTCACCTTTTTGTGCTTTACAGGTGATTTTTTTGAGTTCTAAGTTAGGCTGAAGGTACTTTTTTTGTTGAATATTGTGATAATTAGCGATTTATTTTAATGCAGAAGTTAACCGCAAAATATTGCTTATTTGCCAATTTATTTAAAATTTTGCGGGATCCCGCAAATACCGGGATCCCGCGAGATTAACATCTAATGATCCCGCCAATACCGGTATTGAGATTTTGCTGCGGGATTGCATTCCCTAGACACAACGAAAGGAATTAATTTCTACCAACCATAGTCCTCCTCGATCCCTTATCGTGATCGGATATGTTACCTCACCAGAACAGACTGTCGGAAGAGAGTACACACAAAGGGCGATTGGGCCGTCTGGAAGAAACATATCCATTGGTGATGTCAAAACTTTAAGAGCGAATTACTCGGAAACGGTTTGTCGGAATAAAGTAGGTATTCCCAAAGGCAAAATTAATCATGTCCATGAACTTTGCAGGCCTACAACGTTTTGAGCTGTTACACTTTGAGCACTAATATTTATATTGGCGGCACTAACGAGCACTAACGCTGCTAGTTTAACTAGTGTAAAGATTGAATCGATTTTCTCAAATGGGTCTGCTGGCATGAAGTTAGCAGGCCCACAAATGTTTTTTAAAAATAGTAAGTTTCATTTTGTGCACTAACGATTTCTTCAGTGGCACTAACGTGCACTAACGGAACACTAACGATATGAGTAAGCAGAACCATGGTCTGCTGTAGTAGGCCTGCCAAGTTCATGGGCATAAATTAATCGACTGGACGAGACATATCTATTGACGATGTCAAAGCTTTCAGTGCAAATATCTGTAGAATGGAGTGTAGGAGGATTTTAAATGTATGCCAGGCGGTCTTTAAATGTTTAATTGTAAAGCGCCTACTCCCCATGAATCATAGATATATATCTACCCAGAAAGTAAACATCGATAGCATGCTACTACCTTATAACCCAAGCAATTACTAAACTATTTCGGTTTACAAAAACAAAGAGTTGTGCACAAGTTATACTTGTTAATAAATACTATGTAATTTAATCCCCTTCAACCCCTTAGTTGTAATAACTCCCTTAATGCCAATTCCAATATGTCCTGAACACCTGTCACTATGTAACACATTCTCCTCCACTTAACGTCTACCCTCCCCTTAAGCAACAAACGTTTTTTGATTTGATTTGATTTGAACGTAAATTTAGTATCAGAGTATGGTGTGGTATATTATGGATAGAAAAATTTTTGAACTTGTTTTTTATAAGGGCACCTACACTTAATGGGGGAAATATACCTCAATTCAATAATAGACGTTTTAGAGCACTTTTTTGAAGATATTAGTTTGCAAATTTGAAGTTATGTAGGTAGGTACTTACTTCCAACAAGACGGGGCGCCACCGCACAACTTTAACAGAATTACTGATTACTGAAGTTTTGCACCATTTATTTGGGGATCGGTGGATAGACACTTCTTGATAGACACAGCTTGATGGCCCCCTGGTTCACCAGATTTAACTCTAATAAGAAAGTCGTATTTCCTATTGTTGTTAGATATTATTATGTATACAGTGTGTCCCAGATCGGGTGGGATTGCATGGGTAACTTTGTTATTATTAAGGATAGAGAATTGGTTAAATGGGCAATGTTTTGCAGTTTTAGATGCTTATTTAAAATTTCCTTTTAGAAATTCAAAACGTCGCATAGGTTCGACGTAAATTCAAAAAATCTAAAATTGGTCATTTCCTTGAATGTCTTATATCATCGAAAGTATAAGAGATATAAAAAAAAGTTTTATGTCTTACTAACCTATCATAGCACATTTTATATCTGTGATACGCGGGCATAAAGTACCAATTTATGCCCTAGGGCATTAAGTATCACCATAGTAACTCATTTATACTTAATGATAAAACAAACAAATATTTGCAGGTCATTGAAAATTAGAAACGTCAATTATTAATTGTCAATACCTACTAAATCACAAGATTGACCTTATTTCGTATAGTTTCTGGAACTTCTTCCTCATTCACGATGAATTGAATTATTTAAAATTACGTTTGACGTTTGGATGGTTTCAATCACATTATCAAAAACGAACCACGCATACTCGATCAAACATAATGAATTATTTTGTAAACGAATTTTGACGAAGAAAACTATTTGTAAAACATAAAATTGTGTATGTACCACGGGCATAAACTATGTTTATACTCTCGGGCGACTAAAAAGCTCGAGCTTTTTAACTCGTCGCCCTCGAGAATATAAACATCACTATTATGCCCTTAATACATAAATAACTATTATATAAAAGTTACTGTCTTTGATACGTTTAATTTAGAATTGATGTTAAAAAAAAATTCAAGATGGCTACTTTTGAGAAACATTTACCAACTTCCTAAAGTTAAATAGGCGCCATATGGGATTTTTAGATTACTTGATAGATTTTTTAATTCTCTCTTCAACGAGCCATCATAACATAAGATTGAAAATAAGATACCAGTTATATCAACGGTTTTTATATTTTAATCAAGTAGGCTGTGATGAATTAAAAAAAAACAAAACAAAACTATTCGAGGCAACAAAGAATGAAAATAATTACATCAGATGTTTAAAAAAATCAGGGACGCACTCATGAGAGGGGGGTTTGGGCATTACAACTCCCTCCAACATTTTATATAAGCGGTCTAGAAAAATTTGATTTTTATAACATCACTTATTGACTTATTATCCATACTTACATGCCTACAAATGGTGGTATAACTACAAACTATCTCCTCGAAAAAAGTCATGCCATTATCCAGTTAAAGACATTTCAAGACACTTCAAGACGCTTTATTTTACACAATGTATTACCATTGATGCATTGTCCCAGGTCACATTTTGTAGGTGGTTTATCCGCAAGAATATTGAAACTAACAGTTTTACCAGTCCGAGTATATGGACAGATAAATCTTATTTTTCTAACTGCGAAGTGTATCGACATTATGAACACTACTCGTCACAGGAAAACCTACATGTTGTAGTTTCACGCCGAAATCAAGTAATATTTTTTTTAATTAATGTATTTTATGGCATAATGGGAAGTCATGTAATTGCACCGGTAATCTTCGATGGATCTTTAACTGCTCACCATTATTTACAAATTCTCCAATAAACTTCCTTAAAGGATTTTTCAATTTTCTCGACAACGTATGTTTTGAAGGAAGGGTTAGTTTGTGCTACCTACCAACAAACTGGCTGCTCAGGTCACAATTCACGAATTATGTACAGTACATTAAATTATAAAAGTAAGTACTTAATTAAAAAATAAAAGTAAAGTGGAAGTAGCTACCACTACAATAATAATAATAATCATCAATGGCAACACGTTGCCTAAACTAAACTGTCTTAAAGTGTGTTTCACTAATAATGGCCAGTATTTTAAACATCTGGTGTAATTATTTTAATTGTTTTGTTGCCTCGAATAGATTTTGTTTTGTTTTTTTTTAATTCGTCATAGACTACTTGATTAAAATACAAAAACCGATGATATAAGACATTCAAGGAAATGACCAATTTTAGTTTTTTTGAATTTACGTCGAACCTATGCGACATTTTGAATTTCCATAAGGAAATTTTAAATAAACATCCAAAACTGCAAAACATTGCCCATTTAACCAATTCTCTATCTTTAATAATAACAAAGTTACCCATGCAATCCCACCCGATTTGGGACACACTGTATTTTTATCATTTGAACGATCGAAATGAGAGTAATGGAAAAGTCGTGGTTATTTAAAGTATTTTGGCATTTAATAAGCTGTTATAATGTACAGGGTGTTCCATATAAAAGTCGCATTTTTTTGTGATGTTTTGTTTTTTAATTACAGATTTGGATTCAGTAGAAACAAAATACTCCATTACGGTAATTTAAGGTGTCTTTCTTAACTCTATAATAAAGTAAGAAATTTAGCAATATTTGAAACAGACTGTTTATATAGCTTTTATATAAAACATTTTAACTTTCTCTCAACGAATAAACGCAGCATTAAGGGTGGTAGGTATTATGAATACAATTTATAGTGCAAGAACAATAAGTTATAGATAACAAGATAAGTAGTTAATAAGTAGAGTCGGTAGCTCCACTTTGGTTCCCGTTTGTCCAGTTTAGATTTACCAAAATCAATGCTTTCAAGAAAAGTTTTCCCCTGAAGCAAAACGGAAGCACGACGTCTCACTTAATTAATGACGTACCTTTCGCATTGCGTCACCAGAGCAGCAAACACCCAATAATTTCAAGGGTAAGGCATAGCATTTTAGGTTACAAGCGAAGAACGTAAAATACGAAAATTGCAATCGCACAACGACAAGATGGCTGCTGAAACTACCCTGAACAAAGTGTTGACATACAAATACTTCGAGACCTCCCACAACTTACGTTTGGGTAATCACAAAACCCAATTTTTCAAAATTAACTCAAGGTAAGTCGACAAATGCCGAGCCCGGCCGGAATCTCCTGTCTTCGCGTGTCGTCCATCTTGTCTATGACGAGCAGTTCGGTGTAAGACCGAGAACGTTGCGGTGCACGTGTTTTACTCCCTGGCAGTGAAATTTAGATCACAGAAAAATGAGATCGCGTTGTTTATTTGCGTGTGAATTGTAGGTGTGACCGTCGTTGTTGTGTTTTTAGTGTGGCGAATTGAAGACAATACCAGGGTAAGTGATAGGTACCCAACCAGCAAGTAGACTATTTTATTACACATCGCAAATGGAAGAAATGAATCATTTCGTAGCCACCTGAAAAAAAAATATTGATCGTATTTTTAGTTTCCTCTCGCATACTAAGGTCAACTTAAAATATAACGAAATCAATTTGGAGGATAGGTAGGTAGTTTACCGTTGTTGTTTGTCACGGTTTTGTTTTTAGGTAATAGTTTTAATTGTCAACAATTAGGTAGGCAATTTAGAGGAATGAGAACAAGAAACTTACCGTGAGAAATAATTGTCGGGCAGATGAGTCTGCTTTAGAAAAAGAAATAGATCAAGGTCCTGCCTCCCGCATTTGCATTTGTAAATAAATGGTCTGTAATCAAGTAAAAGGATGCCTATTCCTCGCTTCTTACCTCGTGATTAGAGGACCAATTGTGTCTGTTGGTCCTCTAATCACTATAGGTAAGAAGTGACGAATAGTCATCCTTTTACTTTGATTGTTTTTATTGTCTTTGTTTGACTGTGTTTTTGATGTTTTAGGTAAATTACGTGTTCGTCGATCATTATTTGAGACTGTTTAGTAATTTAGTTGATACACAATCAACATGGAATGAATAAGTTCTCAAGATTATACGTGATATAAGAGATTTACAGTGTCAGAAGAAATATGACACAGACAGTATGACAAGTAAATTACTGAAGGGTTTTGCATTAGGTATAGGAGATTAGGTACTTAAAAAATGTACACCAAATGCCAAATCAGGAATATTTGGCATCCAGCCAGTACCATAGTGTATACTCTATAGAATAGAATACCTAGTGAGACAATGTTACGGAAAAAAAGGGACACTAATATTTCGTAAAGAGAAGAGCGCAGCTCTTGTGAACCTTAAATTACAAACCTGGCGATTTACAGAAGGAATATTGTAATTTTTGATCGACAAAGACGTCATTAATTCCCCCAAATAATAAGGACGCGGGAGGATAATGCTCGTTTCTTTAGTACGGGTATGTCAACTGAATCATCACATTCTGCAGATTGAAGGATTCTTATCTAATGCCCTTGATTACTCATTTTGAGCAACTTTACGCAACTCCTATTAAGAAGAGCATCGACAATTTTTAAAGTTAGGAACTATCAATAAATTAGCTCCGCCAAAAATCAATACAAAAGAGCGCCAAATATGAAATGCTTAACTTCCAATACTGATTATAGTTCCTTAAAATAAACTGAGAGATAACAGATAAAAGTATATCGATATTACATATAAACAAATATTTTAGTACCAGGATCCAGACTTCGATCTAGAAAATCCCAACGAAAAATTGAAATCTATCTGTTTTCTGCATATCTATACAGAGTGGCCCAACGAGAAGTATACAGAGGGCTTTTAGGGTATTAAATTTCCAAAGAACAAAGAACAGGTTTGTCAACTGGTTCACAAAAGAACTAAAACATATGCGGTCTCATTTATCAAGACTTAAACAGAAAGCTGATATAACTGGAGATGCACTTCATCACGACATATATAAAAGATTTAGAACAAATTATCGTAAATTAATTGCTGAAACAAAACGAAATAAGTACAGTGACTTTCTTACAGCTTCTAATAATAAAATGAAAGATGGGTGGCGATTGGTCAACCAAGAAACTAATAAAATAAAAAGTAATAATATCCCCATACCACACAACGAACTGAATTCACATTTTGTGTCTATTGCAAACCATATCATTAGTTCTATACCTAATAATAAAATAAATCCTAAGAGTTACTTAGGTAATATGCCCTCCCCGGCAACTTCATTTTATTTGGCACCTGTCACCTACAATGAAGTTTTAAGTACAATAAGGAAACTATCTAAATCAAATAGTTATGATATTTATGATTTAAATAGCAAAATTTTAAATAACTGCATAGACATAATTGGTGAACTTCTCACTGAACTAATTAACGATTCCTTTCAAGAAGGAATATTTCCGTCTTGTTTTAAAGTAAGTAGAGTCGTACCGGTTTTCAAAAAGGGCGATAAAAGTTCGCTAGACAACTATCGACCTATTTCTATTATTCCCATTTTAGGTAAAGTCTTCGAAATATTAATAAAAAATCGTTTGGTCGAATATCTCGACAGAAACTTTAAACGACCAACAGTATGGATTTAGAGCGGGCTTTTCAACCACAAGTGCAATTGTTGCGCTAATAGGGTCGGTTGTTGAAGCTTTCGAGAGTAAGGAGACGGTTTCTGCAGTGCTTTATGACCTAACTAAGGCATTCGATTGTGTAGTTCCAGCAATACTTGAAGCCAAATTAGAATATTACGGTATCCGAGGAACGCCTTTGGCACTTTTTAGATGTTACCTCAGTAATCGCTTGCAATGTGTTTCATTTAACAATCAAATGTCGGACATAGAACCAATCTTGTTTGGCGTACCACAAGGATCAGCCCTAGGTCCACTTCTGTTCCTGGTTTACGTTAACGACCTACCGAATGCGGTTAATATAGGGAAATGCGTCCAATTTGCGGATGATACAACCATCATTTGCAAATCTACAAACCCATGCGATCTGAGTAAGTCGATTGATATAGCCGCTACAGAAGTGCAGAACTGGCTTGACTCCAATCAACTAAAACACAATCCCAATAAAACTCAAATCATAACATTTACTAGTCAAAAGTCGGTACACAACAGAAACCATGTCAAATTACTCGGTATAGTCATTGACAATGAATTGAATTGGGAACCGCATATTGATTTACTTTGTAACACGTTATCTTCAAGTATTTATTTATTAGTTAAGCTCAGAACATCTGTTGACAAATCTGTCCTCTTAAATTGTTATTTTGCATTTTTTCACTCGAAAATCAGCTATGGAATAACTGTATGGGGCAATGCGTCTCAGGCTATAAGAGTTTTTAGACTTCAAAAGAAAGCGCTTAGAATCCTAGTCAATATTGGTTCGAGAGATCATTGTAGAGGTTACTTTAAATCTTATAAAATTATGCCAGTACCCTGCCTATATCTATACTATACTCTAATTGAAATACATCGCCGAATAAATGCTAACAGTAAAGTGTCAGACAGGAGTAGTCGTCAATATAATACTAGACATCATAATTTGTTACTGCCCTTTAAGTTAAGGCTATGTGTATCGGAAAAAAATTCTTTAAATGTCTTGTTATATAACAATCTAAGCAATACCCTAAAACAACTGTCGTTCAATAAATTCAAAGACTCACTAAAGAAATATCTACTAGACAAATGTTATTATAGCATAGAGGAATACATGCTTACTACTTCATGTTCGATGTAAATTGTTTGTTCTTATTGTGTTACTGTGTTGTTTTATACATTTTTTTTGTTACAATATTTTTAAAATTTTTCATATCTATCTGACGCGACCAAACAATTGTAATTATTGAATGGGTCAACGAAATATATTACTATTACTACTATTACTAAATTTAGAAATTTCGAAAAATCCTCGAACACGTCAATTTTGTATTCGAGGGGGACAACTTTTGGAATGCAAATCACGAACCCAAGTCTTCACCCCTCTACATAATCCTATGGCAAACGGCACATTATTTGAAAGCCAATTTAATCGTGATTACTAATCTGCTTTGCTTTTTAAATTCTATTGATTCGTTTCGGAGATATTCGCATTTGAAATGGTTTTTTTCCCCTGATTTAAGTCCTTTAGATTACTTCTTGTGGGGATATTTAAAGAATAAAGTTTATGCTACTCCGCCCGGAACATTACAAGGGTTGCGAGCACGTATAACCATAGTGTAAGAATAGAATACACTATGGTATAACTCAACAATTTCGAGCGATTACCCCTGAAATCTTGCAACATGTACGACAGCGTTTTGAAGCAAATCTTTATTATTGCATGTAAGAAGGCGGAAGGCAATTCGGGCATTTATTGAAATAAAAATTTTAATACAAGGTGACTTAGATCGCATTTGTTTTGTTTTTTTTTAGAAAAAAAAACATTTCAAATGTGAATATCTCCGAAACGAATCAATAGAATTTAAAAAGCAAAACAGATTAGTAATCACGATTAAATTGGCTTTCAAATAATGTGCCATTTGCCATAGGATTCCATTTAAAATTTTAGGGTTTAAGCTCCCTACGTAGAGGGGTGAAGACTTGGGTTCGTGATTTGTATTCCAAAAGTTGTCCCCCTCGAATACAAAATTGACGTGTTCGAGGATTTTTCGAAATTTCTAAATTTAATACCCTAAAAGCCCTCTGTATACTTCTCGTTGGGCCACTCTGTCCGATCGGGCAGCACTTAGGCACACCAAAAGTTCATTGTGCCTACCCCCTTTCAATCGCAATGAAGGATAGGACAGAGGATAGGATCCTGTTTAGCCTAAGTTGCTTCATCCTCCTCGGTTCCAGATAGCTGTCTCCAATGAGTTGACGTCTGTCCCTGATTAAGGCGTCACAGTGACAGACCACGTTGACCATCCAGTGTCCTGTAAGGACACCGGTGATTTTCCTAATTTGACTTCTATTCAGTTTTAGAAGCATAGAAGACACAGATTTGCCAAGGGGCCCTGTTAAAAAGCCCCTGGACTTGACTCCGGTTACTTGTTGCCACTGAACCTGGAATTGACTGGTGACCTGATTCGTTTAGAACAGATCTTACCTAAAAGGCTAAAACCTCGGCTAAAGCCAACTTTATATAGTCGCTATTTATGTTATGTGTCACGCATTTTGTTCTCCTTTAGATTTTGCTGCAATTAACCAATTACACGATACTTTTTCTACATATGACATTTATTATCTTTCGACATTACACCAACTTCCAAATAAAAACAGCCACCTCTTTTCTTTCCCAAATTCAATAATTCATACAACATTCTTATGAATTAGACAATCACCCAGTCTTTAATCCTGGCCCTGACAACGAAGGGAGCAATTCCTAGGGTAGGCTCGGGCCCGTGGCCTTCACGAGCCAACTCGTTCGCCCTTTCGGTGCCCCGTATTCCGCAGT